TAGCAGTGTACGTATACTGGGTAACAAAGATGATTCTTTGCATTCATCTGAAGATTACTTGCTGAATTTTGAACATATTAATAGTCAGAATCTTGAACAGTAGCAGTTAAAATCATGTATGTCTGCTTCCCAAGTTCTACTTAATTCCAAAGGACTTCGGTGCCCCTGGGCCCCATGTTAGTATTGTACAGCGAGGTTCGTCTATCGCTTCCGAACATGCTCTGAATATATCCAAATGCTCGAGATTAGCATAACCCATTGTACAAAGGTGCTAAGAGCTAACGAGAACCAATGTTTGTGAACAAACATTGACAAAAGATCATAGGGTAAAGCTTAAAACAATAGTGTCATGGCTCCTCTCGTTAGTACCTTCCATGTTTTTACTAAACCATTCAAGTCACAAGAGCCTGATGATCTATTCGTGTGGTTGGAAGGCAATATATGGACGCCTATGGGGTAGTCACGACTATGTCCGGGTACAAGACAAGAAATTAAAACCGAGTGAATATTAATCAATACATTTTAAGTAGTGTAAAATCTGTATTAGAAGCCGAGGGGATGCGGCTTCTATTAGAGCATCTACACATATGAGAAATGATGAATTTTTGGTTCTCAATTGTTCAAAAAGAATGGGTGCGACTTCTATTAGAGATGCGGCTTCTAATACAGATTTTACCGTAGTATCATTTCACACTGAATACATTATGATGTATAGCAATTAGTGAATTACATTCCTTTATGTTTACTTTCTAGCATCGATTTGTGTCGCCGTTTTCTTCACCACGAACCTGATGGGATATTCAGTGCAGATACTAAAGGTGAATGGCCATATTTTCTCTATTAGTGATGGCGTATATAATTACTGTACAGTGTTCTTCCCAGAAAAATTGCATACAGTATCGGCCAATTTACATAACAATGTAATATGTTAATTACTTCTAGTGTATTCATTGTTATGCTAAATTGGATCTATTGTTTATCCAAAATTTAACAGTTTGGAACAAATATTCTATAATGCCCTGGGGAGAACCCTGCTGCATTTTCTCTTTTAACATTTTGGGGGGTTAGAATTTACCTGCCGTGTAGTAAGTATTCTAGGTTTCATATTAAAATTCCAGGGCCAAAACGCACTCCATAGAACATATGCATAAATGGGTGCCGCGCATGACAAAATCAACAATTCTAGTATTTCTAGTATTGCTTTTATTCAGAAATACACTTCAAATGGTATATAGGTTATCAACGTATCAACATTAAACACATGAATCAGTTCCTCTAGATAATGTGTCGCTTGTATCTTTGCTAAAGTACAAATGTAATTAGCTTATACAGTAAGGTGCAATAAAGTAGTAACTTGCATTTAAATGGCTTAACAAGCACAATACTTTTCTACTTTTCTTAGATTTAAAACGTGCCTTATTTGAACTGGCATGGCATGAGGTGGAAGGTAATTTGAAGCAGGAGCAAGCTGTTGCAGTATTGACAGAAGTCTCAGTGAGTTGTATTTCTATTCATATTTGCTACACAATAATATACCTCAATGTTCCTGCATTAATTCTTGAAAACAGATGAAAACAGGAAGTCGTTTTACTTTTTATTCATGTCTGAGCTGCATGTTTATGTGATATTCTCAGCTGAATACACCATGTTATGTTTTCCTGTGATATTCTCAGTCGAATACACCATGTTATGTTTTCCTGTGATATTCTCAGCCGAATACACCATGTTATGTTTTCCTGTGATATTCTCAGCTGAATACATCATGTTATTAGTCCCAGTTCGGACAAAGTCCGAAAATGGAGACTTATAATTCGGTCTCTGTCCGTCTGTGCGTCCATGCGGCCGTCCGGAGTCGTATCTCAGAATCCCTTGGACTGATTCCGTTCATGTATTGCATGTGCCTAGTACTTTATGTGGGACATAGCGATTCAATTTAAAATGGCCGACTGGCAGCCATCTTGTTTTTTGGAAATGTTGTATTTTGGACATGCTTTGTCTGTTTTCATTCAAATTTAGTACATAGATCATACATGTTAAGATGCATGTTTCCGACCGTCCGTGAGTTCCTGAGTCTTTCCGTCCATCCGTCTGTGTGTCCGTCCGTTCGTGTGTCAGTCTGTCCAGAGTCATATCTCAGAATCCCTTGGACCGATTCTGTTCATTCTATGCATGTGTCTAGTACCTTATGTGGGACATATGCACATGCAGTGGTTTAGCGATTCGGTTGCGTATTTGGCACATACATGTACTTTATAAATGTTAGGATGCATGTCCATGATAATTTGTTTCAAAATCTGGTCAAGGATGGCCGATTGACAGCCATTAGACTTTTTAGCCTTACTACTATATTTCCACAATTTATGTACTATTTTCATTCATATTTGGCACATACATCATACATATCAGTGTTTCATAATCAGATCAAAGATGACTGAATAACAGCTGTTTTTATTTTTGGCCATAATACTAGAATAGAATAGAATTCTTTATTAATACCGTAAAGATAATGTGACATTTCTTTTTTGGTTACAAGTTAATAAAGTTTTTACATAGTTGAGCGGACATAAAACTATCCGTGAATAGTAAGACAATTTACAATATGTAAGAATATGGCATGTGTTTTTTATTTATGCCGGTAATTTATTTCTTATGTTGTAACACTGTTCGATGTACTTTATGGTTTCTTTGATTAGTGATGTGTTCTTATTACTCATTATTTGTATGAATTTAGTATTGTTTGTCATATCTTGGAATCCATATAAACAGGATTTGGCTGTTGAATATAGAATGTCTCTGTTGTTTGCATATAAGGTGCATTCTGTTGTGAAATGTTGTTCATCTTCAATTTTGAGACAATTTTGACAAATTCTGCTTTGTAGTGGTATTTTCAGTTTTTGATGGCGACCAGTTTCAATTTTCAGTTTGTGGCCACTCAATCTAAATCTAATGCTTTTCTGTCATTGAGTTTTTGTAAATAGGTTTCCTGTTGGATGTTATTTTTCAATAATTTAAAAGTATTTAGTTTTGAATCAGTACTGTTCATGTTAGACATCCATGTATTTGTATAGTGTTTCTTACATAATTCTTGAAAATGCTGTTTTGTTGTTTGTATGTCAACAGGTTTGTTGTATGTTTTTTTCAAATCATGTAGTTTTGACAACCAACTGTTTTTCAACACTGTATTCTCCATCTCTTTAAGTGCATAATATGCTATGTTGTTTTCATCAATGGATTTTAGGTGTTTATAGTATCTGAGAGCTTTGTATTGAATGTTACATAACAGTGGTAGTCGCCCTGTATCCATTCTAACAGCTATGTTACTGGTAGTGTTATTTACATTTACTATATGTCTACAAAAAATGTAGGTGGTATTTTTCTGTGCTAGTTT